TGGTCCCTGTATTTAGGTTCTCTGATTGGCTGCTTACTTTAAGGAGATTCTTCTCTGATAGGTCACTTACTTTGGTCCCTGTATTTAGGTTCTCTGATTGGCTGCTTACTTTAAGGAGAGTCTTCTCTGATAGGTCACTTACTTTGGTCCCTGTATTTAGGTTCTCTGATTGGCTGCTTACTTTAAGGAGAGTCTTCTCTGATTGGTCACTTACTTTGGTCCCTGTATTTAGGTTCTCTATATTGGCTGCTTACTTTAAGGAGAGTCTTCTCTGATTGGTCACTTACTTTGGTCCCTGTATTTAGGTTCTCTGATAGGTCACTTACTTTAAGGAGAGTCTTCTCTGATTGGTCACTTACTTTAAGGAGAGTCTTCTCTGATTGGTCACTTACTTTAAGGAGAGTCTTCTCTGATTGGTCACTTACTTTGGGCTCCAAAACCAGCTTCCTGTTGACGTGGTTGAGCGCGTAGGGCGGGAATTCTTTGAGCACACGCTCCGACGGTCCGTTGATGCCCAGACCTTCCTTAGGGTAGACGATCTGTCTCCTGGTGCGCACGGGAACCAGCGCATTGAGGCCGCTCACCAGGGTGTGGTTCTCTAGGTTCTGATTGGTCAAACAATATACATCGGTCGGTGAAATGATAAGTATTTGCTCGTTTGGTTATTTGTCCATTTGTTTGTGCAAGAAAAGCAAAAACTCCAAACAACAGCGATAATTCATGCAGGAAAAGCCCCCAAGGCAGGCAGACAGAAAAAACAGGTGGAAAAAGAAAAAAAGCAGGATCTACTAGTGGCATCCTCTAACCACCCGTAAAACAAAAACATAAGGCATATCAAAACCACAAACTATAGAAAAAACAAAAACAAACAGAAAGTATAGAAGTAATAAATGGGCTTAACCATTAGATAAAAAAATAATCTCTAAAATATTCAACTAGAATCTAGAGACAATTTCAGACACACAAAAAATGCAAGTGACCAAAGAACAAAACAAGGAATAAAAAGTTGAATCCGCATTGAATAAACCTGGGCTAAACCGTGATATGAACATGTGTGAAGCATCATGCATGTTGCACATACACACACACACACACCCACTGAAGTTAGGAAACTCTGGCTGTTATTTTCTCACTAATTTCACCACTGAAACCAGGTGACCTCACTTCTTTCAATCGTAAATATCTGGAGTTCTATTCCAGATAAATACATATTTTTTCATTAGAAGCAAGGTAAATAAACAACCTTTCCGATGATACCAATAACTCCACATGCCCCAAAATTGACGATCGCCTGATTCCACAGCGTCATGACACAAATGTTTTCTGTGGCGTCGGTGGCCAAGTGGTTAGGCTCTTGGACTTGCAACCGTAAGGTCGTGGGTTCGAATCCCGTCAGGGGCCTGACGTTGTGATCTTGGGAAAGGCACTTTACACTAATTTTCCTCACTTCACCCATGTGGGAATGGGTACCCGGCTATAGACAGCGAAAGATCTTGTCAGTTTGTTAGTGTTTGAGCGCTTGATCAGCTGCTTGCACTGTATGCTTCCCGGGAAGCTGAGAATGTTTCGGAGTGTTCTATGGTCTGCTAGGGTAATAATATAGTGTAAAGCGCATAGAGCCTGCTGTTGAGCGGGGATATGCACTATACAAATGCTATTTATTATTATTGTTATTATTATTGTTATTATTATTGTTATTATTATTATTATTATTATTATTATTATTATTCTGTTCCATTAAATGTGTATCTCTTTCACAACATGTAGTGATCTAGTCACCTCTTTGGTGGTGTAGGGCGGGTAGAGTGGGTAGTGTAGACAGGTCTTGTGCGCCAGTCTCAGGATCTCCTTGAAGAAATGTTTGGTGAGGTGTGAGAAGACGGGGTTGAGGACAAAGTGGTGCAGGTGTCCGTGGTCCTCTCGCCGGTGGTGGTTGTAGTAGATGAAGTCCTCGATGTTGTAGTGGGACCGGATGTACTCTATCTCCTGTCATGGGACACGGCACAGGGGGTGGGGGTGGGGGTGGGGGGATGGGACAGGATGATAGAGATGATAAGAGAAGGTACGATATGCGAGATGTGCTGATACAATGAGTTACTTTTCGCAATCCTCAAAAGGAGATATTGGCCAAAAATCGCTACTTGGATAAAATTTGTAGATTTCCTATTAATGACAACTCTTAAAGTACAACATGCCTTTTAGTATTTCATACTTATAAATTGTAAAAACTTTACCTATAAGCGTGCTGTATCTATTTCCATGGGGCTCAAATCCGAGAAGCAACTCATTTTGTCAGCATGCTTCACATATGATAAGGCAGGACATGACAAGATAAAATGAGACAGGATGATATATGATAAGATATGGCAGGATAAGACAGGATATGATAAAGAAATAAAGACAAGATATGATGTGATAAAACAAGATAGCAATAGACAAGATACAGTGAAAAAGAGAAGACTAAACACTATTAGAAAAGGTGGTCTACACAAGTGAGAAATTATAATTGTTTACCTAAAAACATGACAGTTTACCAAAAACATATGACAGCTGACCAAAAACAAAACAGTTTACCAAAAACACGACAGTTTATGCAACAAGGTGACAGCTTATGCAAAACATATCAGTTTACACAAAGATTAAAAAGCTTCTGCATAAACAGGTCATATTGTGCAAAAAGTAATATATGTAAAAACATGACAGATTATGCAAAATGTAACAGTGTATACAAGGAGACAGTTTATTTATACAAGACGTGACAGTTTATTCATACGAGAGGAGACCGTTTATTTATACAAGACATGACAGTTTATTTATACGAGAGGAGACAGTTTATTTATATAAGATCTGACAGTTTATTTATACAAGACCTGACAGTTTATTCATACGAGAGGAGACCGTTTATTTATACAAGATTTGACAGTTTATTCATACAAGAGGAGACAGTTTATTTATACAAGATCTGACAGTTTATTTATACGAGAGGAGACAGTTTATTTATACAAGATCTGTGACAGTTTATTTATACAAGACCTGACAGTTTATTTATACAAGACGTGACAGTTTATTCATACAAGAGGTGACAGTTTATTTATACAAGAGGTGACAGTTTATTTATACAAGACGTGACAGTTTATTTATACAGGACGTGACAGTTTATTCATACAAGACGTGACAGTTTATTTATACAAGACGTGAGAGTTTATTCATACAAGAGGTGACAGTTTATTTATACAAGACGTGACAGTTTATTTATACAAGACGTGACAGTTTATTTATACAAGAGGTGACAGTTTATTTATACAAGAGGTGACAGTTTATTTATAGAAGAGGTGACAGTTTATTTATACAAGACGTGACAGTTTATTTATAGAAGAGGTGACAGTTTATTTATACAAGACGTGACAGTTTATTTATACAAGAGGTGACAGTTTATTTATAGAAGAGGTGACAGTTTACCTCCTCCCTGCGGACCACGGCGACGCCCACCACCTGATCGAGACACTCTGCGACGTACGCCTGGATCTCTGTGCCATCCTGCTCACACAAGGGACAGAAGAAATAACTTCACTTTTACCGGGTATGTCTTTTTACAGAAACTCACCGAAATTTACGAAACTCAACGAAACTCACCAATTCAGACCCCCCCTGTCTCTCTCTGTCCCTCTGTCCGTCTGTCTGTCTGTCTGTCTGTCTGTCTGTCTGTCTGTCTGTCTGTCTGTCTCTTTATGAGTTTCGGTGAGTTTCGGTGAGTTTCTGGAGTTTTGTGAGTTTCGGTTAAAACACATACTACTTTAACCCATAATTTTACCCCCCCCCAAAAAAAAAAATATAAAAAAATAGTTGAAAAAGTAAGTAAAAGTCAAAAAACAACTAGGCTTGGTCAGGAGAGGTATTTCGTTCTGAGCCAAGGTATTGATATGCAAAGTTGTTGACATGAGATTTGTGACTCGCAACAACATGATGAATAACACGACATGTTAGGAAGAATATCGCGGCAATTCGAAAAAACTATCAATGAAAAGAACTCATCCTAGTCACAAAGCCACATCTGAAGTCAGGCATCTGTGGTGAAACAGATAGGCTCTTCACGGAGGACATGGGTTTGATTCCAGTGTGGAGGATTATTGAGTATCTCTGTCCATCATGGAGGGATTATTGAGTATCTCTGTTCATGTGTGGAGGATTATTGAGTATCTCTGTTCATGTGTGGGGGATTACTGAGTATCTCTGTCAATGTGTGGAGGATTATTGAGTATCTCTGTCCATGTGTGGGGGATTACTGAGTATCTCTGTCAATGTGTGGAGGATTATTGAGTATCTCTGTCCATGTGTGGGGGATTATTGAGTATCTCTGTCCATCATGGGGGGATTATTGAGTATCTCTGTCCATGTCTGGGGGATTATTGAGTATCTCTGTCAATGTGTGGGGGATTATTGAGTATCTCTGTCCATGTGTGGGGGATTATTGAGTATCTCTGTCCATGTGTGGGGGATTATTGAGTATCTCTGTCCATGTGTGGGGGATTATTGAGTATCTCAGTCAATGTGTGGAGATACTGTATCCCAGTCAGCCTGGGTTGCCCCTAACAGGCAGGGTTGTTTAGTTTTTGTAAGAGTTTTACAGCACTTCCAACACAATAAGGTCATATGAGCGCCGAAGACTAGAGGTGTTACAAGAGAGTAACAAACACAAAAAAGGAGGAGGAGAGACAAGGACAATGGATGTTCGATAGATAAGGAGGAGCAGACCACACCAGAGCACCCACCAACCACCCGCAGGCTGGGTCGAAGCAGCCAGATTCTTCGTTTGACCTAAACGGTGTTGATGGGGGTGTAAAACATGTATTTACCACCAATGAACCAGCCACAACTGATGGCAGCAGAAAGGCGTCTGCCTCACTTACAATATCTCTGCGAGCGGCGTTGAACTGTTTGAGATCTTCCAGAATGTTCTCCTTCAGCTCTATGGTGGTCACCAGTTTCTCCACAGCCTCAAGGTCACTGGTGCAGGCCGGGCGCACACGCAAGTTTCTGGGGACATTATCGAGAATCACATATCCGGTTCCATCGAAATGTTACCAGTATTTTATAATCACATACTTGGCTCCATCCAAATGTTACCAGTATTTTATAATCACATACTTGGCTCCATCCAAATGTTACCAGTATTTTATAATCATATACTTGGTTCCATTGAAATATTACCAGTATTTTATAATCACATACTTGGTTATTTTATAACCAGATATGCAGTTTCAGTGAAATGTTCTTGGTATTCCATAATTGGATATCCAGTTCCATTGAAATATTATTAGTACCTCATAACTGGATATCCACTTCCACTGAAATATGTCTTTGAGTTCTTTAATCTTATCCCACCAGACCATTGACTCACTGTAACCAAGTCATTTTGGCAGCAATATTTAAAAACCTTTTGATTGCTCTTACAAAAACAAACATGATCTCTCCTAAATCTTTTTAAAGAAAAGCTCAGGTGCGTTCTACATCAAAATGCAGGGAAAGGAATTTCCTATCTAAGAATTCAGAGATAAAGTGATCCCAGCACAGCGCAGTGGTTTGTGAGAGTCTGAGCTCTGTGGTGTGGAGGAGATGGAGAGTGTGTCTCACTGCTGCAACATCTGGCTCATGATTGGTGGTAGGTTCATCACAGAAACCATCTACACAATTATGTAATTGTTGTTGTTGCTGTTGTTGTTGTTGCTGTGTGTGTGTGTGTGTGTGTGTGTGTGTGTGTGGTAGCCTATCCGTTCGAAATGTTTAAGCCCCGAAGAGCGTGCTCTTCGCCAGGGCCACCGCCTCTCTTGGGCAGCGGGTGAGGCAGTCCAACCTCCCTGAATCTTCCCCAAAGAGATGCCACCGTTGTTGCTGTTGTTGTTGCTGTTGTTGTTGCTGTTGTTGTTGTTGTTGTTGTTGCACTCATTGTTGTTGCACTCATTGTTGTTGCTGTTATTATTGTTGTTGCTGCTGTTGTTGTTATTGTTGTTTTTGTTGTGGCAGTTATTATTGTTGTTGTTGCTGTTGTTGTACTTGTTATGTGGCAAAAATTTCTCTGCCAGAATAGGTCTCATTGGCCACAGCAGAA